CCCCCTCAGTCATTAAGGACACTAATGGGATGGGTAGTTAAAGTAATTAACAGTGTAATAAATACGTCTCACATTCTTTTCAGTAAAGACAGCTGCTCATTTTTATTTCTTTTTTCCGCGAAATTCTACTCAAAATTTTAATAAAATGTACTTTGTTTGGTATCTGATATAAAAAAGTACACAAATAAACCCTAAATTTGTTTTATTCTTAAATTCAAATTTAAAAAATAAAATTTTAATATGCTGTTCTTGTCCTGATCAGTAAGCTTTATACAGTAGAACCCATATAATAGGACGAAGTCAAATAAACATGAAACACATCAATTGTTCAGTGTTCACAAACCAAATAAACATGATGAAACACATCAATTGTTCAGTGTTCACAAACCAAATAAACATGAAACACATCAATTGTTCAGTGTTCACAAACCAAATAAACATGAAACACATCAATTGTTCAGTGTACACAAATAAACATGAAACACATCAATTGTTCAGTGTTCACAAACCAAAGTACTTAATAAGTTGATTTTAAAGTTTTATCAAATATACATCAGATTGAGTTTATGTCGTCTTCTTATTGCTAAATTTGATGGGTCCCACTGTAAGAAATAAATTAACGTTACATATAATTTCATTTTTCTTAGGAGTGTTCTGCCATATTTTCTACCTTTGTGTGTACTGGCTAGACCCCTGTATGTACTGTACCAAAGGTTTGCATTTATTGTTAATTATTAATTTTATTATTATTATTATTATTACTATTATCTATTATTATTAAAGGAAAAATGAAAGTGGGTATAGGATGAAACCTGAGAATCTCAGACGTTGAACGATACATATAAGACATCTATCTGATGTTCCTGTCTCGAGAAATTGACATAAAACTTTGTCAAAATTACACGGAAATTCATATATATACAATTTTGTATAAAAGTAGTAGGTTTCAACAGATCATATTCAGCAAATATGCAACCAATCTAAAAACGATCTAGAATCTCAGGTTTGCTCCTATTATATTTTTTTGCATTTTTATTAAATAAAATTGATAATATTATTTCATATAGTCCGTATAGTCCGTATTACGTCACCAGAACTTCATCCAATGGCAGTATAGTATACTGGTCACGTGATACAGACGGATAAGAACTGTACAGTGTACAGTCCTTTTAATGTCTAGAATTAACGGACCTGAGGATAAGAACTGTACACTGTAGAGTGTACAGTCCCTTGATCTTATTATATTCCAGAATTAACGGACCTGAGGACAAGAACTGTACAGTCTCGTTGTCCCTGGCAGTGGTGTTCAGCTACTTTGTGTTATTTTTCTCTTCCGGCAGCCATGAGCCACCACTATTTCCCCTTCCGGGCCACCACATTTGACTCTTCCGGGCAAAACTACTTTTTTAAATGGTATATTTAAGGCCTTTAAATTATTTTACTTTTTAAAAAGTTTAATGGAACAAAGGAGAAGGGGGAATCTTGCAATCTTTATTACATTTGTTGTTGTGACTATTACTTAGGAACTTTATTAGAAAAACTCCATGGATAAGGTTAAAAACTAAGTTGTCTCAATTATTGGTATTTAATATTATTGTGAATTGTTTATAGCACTCTAAAGTGTTATTTATAATTTTTTAATTCTGTTGTTAAAATAGAATCTAATGGCATTTATCTTTTTACTTTTTAAACGCGGGTTGTTTTTTGAGACTGCAGTGGATTGGTAGAGGGAGGGGTTGTTTGAAAGCTAACTTTTACATCTAGGTTATAGTTGAGCTTATTCTCGTATACATCTCTTGGACATGCTTAGAGATAGTGTAGTTGCGCGTGCAGTGTTCGACAAATTAATTAGAGTTGTAAATATATCTCAGTATTAAATCTAGAACAATCGCAAATACACAAATGTTAAAAAACTGGTTCCACGTTGAAAAGATTTTCGCGGATATCTCAAAGTCTGGAGAAATTATTTAAAAAATTATACCTTCACCTTTCATGACCCTTGCACAGATAGAATCAAAACACAATTTAAACTTGGAAAACAGGGATAATTTAAGTCAAAGCAAATTAAAAAAATTATACTTTTTTGTGACAAAAAAAGTTGAAATTCTGACTTTTTCAAATTCAAGAAAATAAATATCCCTGATTATAATGCAAAGAAGTTTTGATACCTTGAATTCAGCGAAGATTGGAATAAATTATTTTTGCACAAAAATGACTTGCAAATCTTTAGACAAATGATTATACACGTCTGTCAGATAGACAGACAAAAAGACGGACATACAGGACATACAAACAGACATTTCTACAGAAAGAAAGATAGAGAGAAAGACATAGAAAGAATTTGCAAGAATATATATATATGTTTTTCATATGTATATTTATTGAACAAAGACAGAAATATACACACTTAAAGCGTAAATCGGACAGAATGCTTTTGTCAGTAATATCACATTATTAAAATAATTATGCATTAAAACATTTCAAACTTCTAGAGACACTCTTAAGACATAATTCATTAATCATTGCCCCGGAAATAGTTTTTTATTACAAATTTTGCATTTTTTGGTCGATTTAAAATTTTTGCATAATATTTTGGTAGAGTAATAGTATTAGGAAGGAATTGAAAAAGTATTAAAAAACCTCAAAACACATTAAATATCCTGTTCCACAAACCCCCGGCCCGCAACATTTAAAATTTTGCAACGTTTTAGCACAGCCTTGCACAGCCAAATCTGCACAGTTTCTGCACGACCCGTGGGATAATAAAATTTTTATATTTTTCGTCTTAAAAATTTGCACAATCACTGTCTGGTAATCAGCATGATGTATGCATGGGGAACTTGAATATATATATCCATACTTAGATATCTTTAGAATATCGGCTAAGGCGGGGGGGGGGGG